CAAAACCACCACATTTTGCCTAATGATGCAGCAACAGAAAGCCATGTAATATTTCTGAATCAGTAGACCACTGATTTGGAGACATTTAGAGAAAAAATAATACAAACTGGATTAAGTTAAACACATTTACAGGTACTTGTTTCAAAATTCTGCAAGATGAATGAGCATTTGGGGAATAATCAATTGAATACACATTCCTATTTTCTGCATTCTTCCTGTTGGGGTTTTGATATTGGACCTGATACTGTATGTTGGCAGGAAGGAGGCTGATAAATAAAGTTCTGCTTTCTAAACTGGTATTTTTACCCAAAATATTGAACAGAAACTCTATTACATCATGAAGACAAAGGCTGGAATATCTATTTTGCCTGTCCCAATTGAGCAAGCAGTAGTTTATTGGTCAATAAGGCCAACTCTAAATATATACACAAGGAAATTTAACCACCAAATGCTGGTTTCATTCTCAAATTAAAAAAAAAAATCAGCAGAAAGAAGAGGTTTAAAATATTGTATTACACAATAATGTAGCATAGACTATGAACACATTTCAAGGGGAAAAAGACACCATGGTAGTCAAAAGAAGATTGTTTTTCGATTATATATCCTTTTTTACATATCACACTGATCTTCCTCTTGTTGCCTCCTACCTTTTCCCTTCAGAAGTAAAGTATTTAAGTCTGCAAGCTAAGATGTTTCTTACAAGAGAAATGCTACTTGCAAGGTCACTGCAGAGGTGGGACACTTATAATGCATTTGTATTTTTATCAGGATGTATTTCCTTAGAAGGGTGAACTAAAATGAGCCACAATCAGTCTCAAAAGAAGATGAGATGTTCTATTTGAGAGGGCTCGTGGCTGCTGTAGCACAATCTAAGAATGAAAAATAATAGTTTGAGGAAAATGTACACTGTTACCTTTTCCTAAAAATTTTACAATCACTTGCCCCCAAGCATATATTTGGAAAAATTTTCATACATAATGATGAACTACAGGGGAAGAGAAAAAACAACTCCACAAACCACAGATAAAACCCACAGAATTTCTTTAGACAGCTGGCTAACTTCCCCCTCCCTCCTATCGCATTTACCAGATGTGTCTGCAGGGTAGGAACCTGGGAAAATAATACAAAATGTTCAGGGTTCTGATAGACAGATGGCAGCAGGTTAAAGTGAAAAACTGAAACAAGTATGACGTTATTTACAGACCACGTGTGCATGGACAGCTTTGGCAAAACCAGGCATGTCTGCTCTGCTTTTGTACCACTTGCTGAACCTCTGCAAAAAAACAAATTCAGCAGACACCTTTCACTAGAAGGTTTTATTCCATTCCACCCTTAGGAGATGACAGTAGCACAGCCCTTGCTACAGTGTGGCACAGAAGTGAAAAGTAACTTCTATGTCCAAATAGAAGAAACTGTCAGGGAGAGAATTCTGCTTGAGGTGTCACACAATTTCATTCTCCACTCAATATAGCAGAAAAGCACCCAATTAACCTGTATCAGATCATTGTCACAATTAGCATACTATTTTAAGGTAGGATCTTGTGTTCTTGGCAGCTGAAATGCTCAAGGTGAAGCCCAGCTCTGAGATAAGCAACTTAATATTCCCCGAATTCCCTGTTTCCTGTAAGTATCAAAAGCAGTATTCAGTGATGAAAAGGTAAATGAGTGAAATTAAGAAATTATTCCCTGACCCAGCATACAAACATAAACACCTGGTACAGCAGAGAGTGGGGAATAGCTGTAATTATTATATAGTTGCTAAAGGGAGAAAATAAAGGTAATTTAATCAATAATTTACTGCTATGTATTTCTTGTGAACTATCTCGTATCAATCAGCTTCAAGGCTTAAGCAACAGGCTCTGAACATTGGTTTTCCCAACAACTATCACCAAAAACTAATGAAAAAAGTAATAATTATGTAGTTAAGATTAGTCAAACACATAATTCATGGATTTTTTAAAAATCTTTAAAATTGTTAGATTGTCTAAACGAAACCAGAACTACTGTCTTGCTCTCAGAAAGCAAGCATCTAAAATTGCAGTTTAAACTACAGCAGTTTAAAGGTCACTTTGGAAATTACCTGTTTGATCCATAAACCTTCTGTTCCTCTGTGGACAAATTTCTGCTGCCATTAAAAACTGTGATTTAATTTTCCCTCCTGGCTTTTAAATGAATAATCCCAGCTCTACCCTAACAGATTTCCCAAACAAAACTTTGCTGTGAAACAGTGGATCAGTGCAAACATTAACTGGCATGGATCCCAAATCCAGCCTGAAAAGTCCTGGGATTAGACTGTGTCACCAACATGGTGTTTAGACAACAAGATGACCAGGATCATATGAAACAACAAAATAAATATGAAAAAAATAAAGTAAAAGGATGAAATATACCTTTTTTTTTTATTTTAAGCATTTCTAAAATTTACATTTATTGTGTATAATTTTGGAAAACTTCTCTCTGTTGTGATCATATATTGGATACAAAGGGACAGCCATTACATGACAAAATGTTGTTGGGATTGTCCAGTACACAAGTACCATCTTTATTTTAGTCTGTGTGATACAACCAACCACAGATACTCAGCTGAACAAAATGAATTTTGAATATTGGAAGTAACAAAACAATGGGCAGGGCCAGCAATTAGAAACACAGAGGAAATTGTTCGTTCTAATAAGAAGACACGTATGAAAAACAGCCTAAGAAGTCACCAAGTCAAACAACACCTTAGAAAAAGATAATTTGTTTCCAGATAGTGTTAAGTATTACTGCCAGACTGTCCACTGTTCTGCCAAGGAAACAGAGCTATTACTGAGTACTCCCTGTTAGTATGTGAAAGCAGGAGATAAAAATAATATTACAACATAAGGGCCCAAACGCCCCAGTTTTGTATGAGAACTTCATTTAACAAGGAATAAGCCTCAAGCCTTAGTTTTGCAAAAAAGCTTCAAAGGCAAATTGTACAGTAAATCACAAGAGCAAGAAAATATTCATAGAGAAAATTCAAGAGGATATTCAGAATTGTGTTAGGATGAGACCCTTGTGAAAACCCATACCTACTGTCGAGGAGATCCCTTTATTTTATGTTGCAAAGGCTTTGAAATACAAAATAAGGAAGAAAGGGAAAGAGGTGTCTGCAACCCAGTGAAGAAATCACCACATGAACTATTTGTAGGGACCTAAAGAAAACCTGGGAAAGTCAAATGAGTTGGTAAAAATTGTCTTCCAATTTGCTCTGGAAACAGATGTCATCATGAAAATCTGAGAAAAAAACAGCTTTTCCTTTGAAGTATCAAAACCTTCAGTTTTCCTGAAGAAATAATAATTAAGCCTTTGTAGGAATATTTTAGGAAGATAAACAGCTAGGGGTAACATATCCTTATATCAGAACTCACCTGATACTGACAGGACTTATAAGTTTGTGTTTTTTTTAGTAGAACAAACATGAATCTGCCCTCAGACAACCAAATTCTCAATTCAGTTAAGAGGTATAGATTTACCCATGGTTAGATCAAACAGCTAACCCTGGTAAAAATCAGATCCATAGACTCAGGCATCCTGCTCAGAAGCACTGGCTGCTACTCTCTGTATTTGAGACCTGCAAAACTAAAATTTTCACATCTCTTAGTGAAAAAAGAGCTTACATCGCCCAACCCCTGTTTTTTCTCTTAGTAAAAAAAGAAACAAACTACAATTTAAGTGCAGTAATCAGATTAAAAACTTATTTTCTGTCACCACACATTTATGACAATTTCTAATTACTCATTATACCACTTGTGTCAACAAAAATGGAAAACTGACAGATCAGGTTTCAAAAGGTAGACATTGGCATATAGATACATAAACTCCCAATGAAGTTCCAAAATGAGATTAAACAAGATTATAGCTATGTAAGAAAAAGCCTTCAAAATCAAATGGAACAATGAGGTGTCATAGTACCTAAAATCCTAATGTCTGGCCCAGTCTATGTTAGCCTGGAGATGTCTGCAACTCTTTTCAGTTTCCTCCTGAATTCCAGTTCTTTGTCAGCCTAGCAAATATTCTCAGAAATAGCAGTTTCATTTAGGCTTTTTAGAATGTTCTTTCTATTGCTCCTACCACATAGTGTGTGTGAACAACGGGATTCCCTCCTGATGCATTTCTCAGCTCCAAATTAGTTTAATAAATAAGAAGGTCTAGCAGATAATCAAACTGGGCTGCTTTGCAAGGCACAGATTGCTTTTGTCTTTACTTCATCCAGAGGGAACATTTGAGCGTCACAGTTCACATAAACCATTTCTGCAATCTGCTTTTATGCATAAAGGACAAAGCCCAGATCAGGTACTACAGCTCTGCTTCCAAGCACAGCTACAAACTGGATTTACAACTGCTCCCTGCACATGGTAACAGGCTGTGTGCAGATTTGCATGCACAAATAAGCTTCCTCATGTCTTCCACTCATTTCTGAGCTTGCCTGACACTTGCTAATTCTTGTGCAAAGATAATCATGCAGTATCAACAGAAAGCCCAAAGTAATAACTTTGTCTTTCAGCGGGGTTTAAATTAGACTCAGCATTATGTTGTCAAGAGTTACGCCTAATAGTTGAGAAGCAACATGCTCTAAGAACAGTATTCTGGAGCTGGAGCAGAACACAGGGTTTGGATTGGCTGCATTTGTCTATTTTTAAGCAGAAAGACTACAAATATTACACTGAGACTTCCCAGCAGTGACTGGGTGTATTCAGAAAACACACTCACACACTGTATCTCTCAGCCCATCACACAGGGGCGACCACAAACATCCACAATTTGTCAGTTAAATGAGGAGAGTACTCCTAAGCACATCCTAACACTTTCTTTAGTGGAGTGGCATTTTAGGGAACACTCAGAAATTCTTCTCTTTCAGCACATCAGAAAAGCAAAGTGCATTCCTCCAATTTCACCAAGCACTAGGACAACCTTAACCAAGAACAGGCTGAAGGGGACCCGACTCCAGTATTTAACCCAATGTGTCACATACTTACATCTGGCATTTCTGTAGAGCAGAAAAGGGTCCTGGAGCTGGAAATCAAGGTCTTTAGTAATAGGTTCTGTTCGATTTTCCATGCTCAGTCTGTTCATAATTGTGAAACCATGCCTTGGAGAAGCTGATCTGAAAAGGAACGAGTAGAAGTCCCATCAAGGCGAGGAAAAAGGAAATCACAAGGATTTCTTTGTTGTGTACTGCTCCAAATTCAGTAGTTATTTATTTCTACAAAAAACTAATTTTGTTACCAAGGAAGTAACAATTGGCTCTTGCAGTTTTGGTAATCCTTTTAATTATGGCAAAGCCCTACATTATGTGTGAGAACTAAACAGACCATCAGCATCACACGATCCAATGCCACCATCTACCCCTACAGCTCCTCACTGGAGTAGAAAACAGCAATTAAAACAAGTCAGAGTAGGCCAGGTTCTCAGCACTCAGACTAACAACTGCAGATACTAGCAGTCATCACAGAGAGAATTTTCTATAACACCTAAAATGCAAGGATAAAAGTGACCATGTGAGAAACTGAAACAGGCTGCCCCAGAGCAGCTGTGAATCCTCCCCCATCCCTGAAATGATCCCTGATAAATGATGAACCTAAACCATGCTATGACTAAATCATTATCTCATTCATGGAGATTACTCTTCAAGTCATTTAGATAAAAGTGTTAAACCTGTCATGATCCTGACAGGAGACACTCCTTTCAAACCAAGTTTGGCAATAAAGGAAAAGATGAAGGCTAAACATTTGGGAAAAGTGCCGCCTCTGCTTAATTGCTGGTGTGTGGATTTCTCTGTGAAACCAAAACACAGGAACCTGCTTTACAGCATTGGAGTCAACCAAAAAATAAACAAAAGGGAAATCCTTGACAAGAACCCTTGTTTGCAAGGGTAAATATTTCACTTAAAACAAACAAACAGTCCACTTCCACTGGTGTTCACCCAGTTGGAAATCTGACTTCTTGACAGTTCCTCAAATTCACAAAGATAAGCTGGGCAGTGAATAAGTCAGCCCAAATAAAATGGTAACACCATTTTACATTGTGACTTAAGGTAATGAGAAGAAACAAAGGCAGCACCAGTGGTCTCCAACTGTCTGCTGGCAATGTCTTTTCCATAGGACTTCATCAATTTGTTTGAAGTCACAGAAAGTTAAAGTTAAAACTGATGATGAGGGCAATGCACGACGTTACTCACAGTTCACAAACTGTTCCATGCTGCTGCCTAAAGTGCAGCCAGGCAGGAGCCTGTGCCCTAAACGAAAACTTCCTCAGGCAACAAAAACAGCAGTGAAAATAACAAATACCAGAAGGACCAGGTTTCATGTTGTCGGTTTTTGAGCTTTGAAACCAACACACCAGGAAATACTGCTTCTGCTTGGCAGCACACAAGTCACCACATCCACCCAGTGCCAGCACAACAAAGGTCTCTGCTTTCCTCCCCTGGTGGTAATTTTACAGCATCAGATCCCCACTTACCTGAGAACAGCTTAGGAAAATTACTGTTGACCATTGCCACTGCTGGTACAGGAGAGCTGCAAAGACTGAAACCACGGTTCCCATTTCCCACAAAGCTCACAGGCTCTTTCTTGGGCCTCTCTGTCACCTCACACACTTCTCAAAACCATCTCTTGCTTTCTCAGCTCTCCTACCAAACCCTCTTTGATATAAAAGCTGAAAAAGTAACATTCTGCTTTGGTGTTACACCTCAGCAGCAACTGCAAGACTTGCTGACTGTGTAACTTTCTGATTTTAACAGCAGTTACAGAGAAATGCTGGGGCACTGGTATGGAAACCCCAGCCCAGGTCAGGCTTCACAACAGAACAGACACATGTGCTGGCACAAATGGTGCAAAAAATGATGCTCTGAAAGCCACAATCAGAGTTGCTGCTGCTAAAAGAAAGAATGAAAACCACCCAAAATGTGGTTGGGTCATGAAATATGCATGAAAAATGAACAGACAAAAATAGTATGAAAGTTCTCCAAGTAGGGGACCAAATATTTCAAAAGCTCTGCCATTCCCTTCTTTTAAGCAATATCATTATTTATTTCACTCTTTTTTTGTTCACACACTTTTTAACTGCAAATCCTATTTAAATCAACACAAAAGATTTCTACCGTTTACCCATACTGACATTTAAATCCCATTGGGAAGTCTTATCAAAATACAAGGTCATGTCTCCTTCAGAGTGTTTTCTTTCCCAGATCTGCTTCTGGCAGTTTCAGTTTCTTTTCACCCTCAAACATAAGAGGAACATTTTATTTCATTCAGCCATGCTCCATCCCAGCCAGCTTTTCCACATCCACAGATTTCACCTGTAAGTGTCAGAGTGCAGTGTCCTCACCTTGTGTAAACAAACAGCGTTCCCTCCACATCCGTCTTCTCCTGAGGAAAAGGAACATTAAGCAAGTTGAAAACAGGGGAGGGTTTTGCTCGCCATCAGCGAGCCCCCTTTTCTTTGTTTTACTAGCACCTCTCTTACCCAAGCCAGGAAAAAAATAACTAAACCAAACTTCATGGGCTGGTGATGAGAGGTTGGAGCTAGCACAGGTCACCGTGCAGCATTCCAGGCTACACCTGAGCACAGCACACAGGCAACAGGCAGAGGCAGGAGTTTTCTATGGGCACCTGCCCTCAGGGGGGATGTCTGGCACAGAAATGGGGGGAAAACGACACAAAAGGCAGATTGGGCAGGTTCTTCAAACACAGGCCCTGAGTCTCACTGTTACAGCCAGCTGAGAACCACCTGCCAAGAGCCTGAATGTTCTGTTACCTAGAGTTTCCCCGAGGTAATTACATTTGTACAACAATGCTTTTAGCACTGGCAACTCCGCCAGGCTTTTGCACATGTTTGGGTTCTGTTACAGGTGATGGAAGGGCAGAGGAGCACCTGAGGTCCGGAGCCCTGGGTTAAAGCCCAGCTCTAGGTTAAATCCCAATCTTCCATGGCCATGGGATAAAAACCGGACCTGGGTTAAACCCCAGCCCTGGGTAAAACCCCAGTCTTCCATGGTCTTGGACTAAACCCCAGCCTCCACAGCCCTAGAACAAACCCCAACCTACACTGCCCCAGATTAAACCCCAGCCTCCCACAGCCCGAAGCTGAACCCTTCCCTCGCACAGCTCCAGCTCCAACCCCAGGCTCCACCGCAGGTGTGGGAACTCCCTGAGCTCCATTCCCGGCCACCGGGGGCTCCACACGGCGTTCCCAGGCCGCCTGTCCGGGACACACCGGGTGCCGCTGTCACCGCCACACCCTCACACCTGCCCGCTGGGCGGGGCGTGACGCGTGAGGCCCCGCCCCCAAACCGGGGCGCGCGCGGGGTGGGCGTGTCGGGGGTGGGCGCGCGCGGAGTGGGCGTGGCGGGGGCGCGCGGGGTGGGCGTGGCGGGGGCGCGCGCGCGCGCGTACCCACTGGCTGGCGCGGTGGCCGAAGGTGTAGAGCGCCACCTGGCTGGCCACGTCCACGATGCCGCTGATGTAGGGGTCGTGCTGCCGCAGCGCCGCCAGGCTGATGTCCAGCCCCCGGCCCAGCGCCGCCGCCATCTTGCGCCCGCCGCGCAGCCCCCGCCAATCCACCGCCGAGCCGCGCCGCCCCGCGAGCAGCCGCCGCAATCGAGCGCCGAGCGGCGGGCGGCCGTGAGGGGCGGGCCGGGGACGGCGGCGCGCAGGGCTGGCGGTGTCGGCAGCAGCACGGAAAAGCTAAAATTGCTTTAACCATTAGCGCTGCAGTTAGTTATTCCGTACGCACTACGCGTGAGAGCAAAATTGCAAATCCCGCCGTGCCCAAGAGCGCTGTCCCGTTCCTGTGCGGGCTAAAATCTCCAGAGAGTCTCATAAAGTTCAGCAGGAGCCACCCTGCAGACAAACACGGGCCTGCCGAGAGCCCGAGTCCTCAGGTTCATCTGGGGCTGCTTACAATTGGGATGAAAGCAGCCAGCTTTCGTTTTAGTGCACAGAAAGAATGTTTTAATTACAGCAACACATGAAACTGTAACAGTCTGACCCTAAACCCGTGAAAGAACCTGCAGCGAGTAATAAATTACTAAAAAGACTAAAATTTTAGTTTTAACCATTAGGGCTGGAGTTAAGAAGTGGTCTCAGAGCACAACTGAGAATTTCAACTTTGGAGCGTGAGGGAAGTATTCCCGTGCAAAGCTACTGCGAGCCTTAATAAATGTGGGCTGAAAAGACCACATATTTCGAATTATTTGAAATAATAATGAAACACAACTTCAGTGGTGCCCAGCCACAGGACGAGGAGCCCTGAGCACAAATTAAAACATCAGGAGTTCCACCTCAGCTTGAAGAACTTCACACTGAGGGTGGCAGGGTGGCCATGGAGAGACACAACCCTCCTGTGGATATATTTACACAGAAATATATATCTATATATATATCTGAAACCTAAACAAGCATACTATAATATGCATATGTTATATGTTATACAAACAGCGAGCAACAGATGGACAAGACCAAGGATTCAGTTGCCACGTTTTCCCGTCAGACACGCATATTTATTATTAATCTATTGGTACCGACAGTTTACAGCAAATACAGGAGCTTTATGAGGCATGCAGATAAGCTCGTTTTGCTTAGATAGAGCAAATTATTTTTACTTCATCACCTCAGCCTGCTGCAGCCATTCTGGAGGCAGTCTCCACCTTCCCCGTACAGGAGCAATAGGGTGATATATTTACTTCCAGAGAAAAGGATATGCCCTGGAAAAACTGAGGTGGTGGTAGTGGATGCTGTCTTAATTGTTTGCAGTATTCTTGACACAACATTTTCAAAAGGACAGTAGCTGGGCAGAAGGGATGAGGTCTGCTATTGTGTTCTCTTCCCTTCTCCCTCCAGGCCAGATGGATTCAGTGAGCAGTAGCATCTGTTCCAAGAGCACCTGGGCAAGCCTAAACTCCCATCCTGAGACATGAGGATAGGAGAGACTTGAGAGACAGCAAGCTGGGAATTCACAGAATTAAATGTAGGGATAGTGAGTCTCTTGAGTGGAGTTAGGAGTGGCCCTGTTGTCAAAAAGGACAGGAAGAATGGCTGGTTTTTGGGGCTTAGGAGAGACTCTGTACGTTTTATTGTATCCCAGAAGGCCACCAAAAATTGCATCACTGAGAATAAGGACTTTCAGCTTGCTCTGTGAGCATCTATTAGGAGAGGAGACATCTGAACATACTCTGGTTATAGTCTCACTCACACTTCCTCCTTGTCTTAAGCCACCTCGTTTCATTGGGGGCTGTGATGGAATACAGCTTTAGAGTGTAGAATTCTGTAAGTGATTTTTGTGACACTTGTGGTAGGAAAATGCCTCTAAGCAGTTCCACTGCAAAGCTCTGGCTGACCTACAGATCCTGTAACAGCACTAGAGATACATGGGCTCGTGGTGGGCAAACTGATGTCCTTGCTCTGGGCATGACCAGAGTAGAAAGGCAAAAAAATAAGGAAAAAGCTGTAAATAGGAAAGATAAGTCAGCTGTTGCTTAAATAGTTAACAGATACACATTAGCACATTAGCTTCTTTTTGCTAATTTTTTTTCAGTCTTTTTTTGTTAGTAATTCATTACTTGCTGCAGGTTCCTTTTCAAGTCACAGTTTCTAGGCACCTTTAAGCACATTCCTCCTCATGTGCTGGGGCTTCTCTTTACCATCATCTTCAATTCTTTGGCAATTCTCCTGCTTCCACTTACAAAGTGGAAGCCTTGTCACCAAGGCTTAGAAGTGTAAAACTCTTAGAGTTCCATTCCTTGACTTTTCCTTTACAGATGCTTTTCCTGCCTCCAACAATAATACTGTAACAAAAGGTGTCCTGCTTTCTCTCATTTTTTTTTTTTTAATTTCTTTTTTTTCCCCCTTCAAATCTCTCAAAGCAAACCTGTCAGATGTTTTGGCTGGGTGTTTCTGTTCGTAGCTGCTTTTTACCACCTCCCTCCCAGGTCCCTGTGCCCCTTTCTCACACAGCTGGACAGACAGTTCCCTAACATTGTGTTTTGAGTCAGCAAACCTGTCAAGCTCCTGATCAGGCCTTTTTATATTTTCTGTTACACTCTGAGGTACCTTCAGCTGGTTCCAGCTGTTTTCCTGCATAAGTGGAATGTAATTGCTCCTTCCATTTAGCCTGAAGTAAATATACTTAATAAAGCCATTAGTTCTGCCCTGCTTTATGGGATCACTTGATAGCAGACTAAAAATTTTCCAATGAAACAAGGCGCTGTTAAGAAGAGAAACACTGAATTCTCACTGCATCTAAAAACTTAAGGATGTTTTAGCAAAAATGTCACAGCTTAAAAACATTGATTCTTTAAACTATGGTTCTTTTTCTTACAGTCAGTAGTTCATGATAACTGTAAAATTGAATCTGAACGATTTTGCTGTAATTTTGTTTATGAAACAAAGTCATTTTCTAGCTTTCAAAATGTCATCATTTCATGAAGTATATAATTAGAATGTCACTTTTTTGTCTTCTACCTACCTGGATACTGTTTTGTTAAAAAAACCCAAACCTCATCTTGCTTTTAATATGGCATGAAATGGATTTTGTGTAGGTAATATTTGGGCCAATTTAAGGCAAAATCCACGTGGCACGACATTTTGAAATTAATAACAGATGTGGAGATGGTTAGGCCAAACCTTTTCATGAGGGTTATTCAAGCAGTTATTAAACCTTCACATTCAAGAATCTGTGACACTTTTAAAGATTCAGGCATGCTTCCTCCTGCAAATTATTGCCACTGAGGGAGTGATTTTGTGTGGATTTCTTTGGGGGCGCTGCTGAGGATGTGCAAGCCCTGCCCCAGCTCCCAGGGTTCGGTCCTGGCACCTGGGATCTGGCCTGGCACAGGTGTGTGCATGGCCTCAGTGTGAACCAGGCAGATGGGGGAAATGAACTGTGTGAGAAACAAGTGTTCATAGCCCTGCTGAGCTCACAGCCTCCCCTGGCTGCCTGCCTACCTGCCCACACTCGCTCCTCCCTCGGAGCTGTACCTTTTTCTGATAAACAGCAGAAATCACTCGAGCCACCATAGTGCTGAGCACCCTGTTTGCCTCGTTTCCTCTTCTCCAGCCCCTTTGGAGCTGTTATTGCATGGTAGTTGTCTTTTCCTTTTTATTCCTTCCCAAAGGCTGCCACGATTTTCTCTTCTCACGCTGACTGGTGGCACCTCTCCTGCTCCTGCTTGAGGAGAGAGTGCTGAGGCAGCACTCCTGAGTTCCTCTTACTCATCCAGGGCCACTTAAACACCTTGGATTTAAATGCCACTTAAATTTGGGTGATGCTTTTCAACATGCTGCTTTCCTGGGAGCAGCAGGTTGCTCTGGTGGAGCCAGAATGATCCAGCAAGGCTTGATTACCCATGCTCCACATATTCCTGGGCGTGTGCCTTCAGTGCTGCAGCATGGTAACTCTCCCTTTTTAGGAATCTGTGCTTTGTGCTGGAGTCTGGCTGCATCCCTTCCCAGGCACAACTGAAATATGTGGGGTTTTCAGCCCCTCTCCCCCTTTGGGAGCCAGTGCTTTGTCCTGGAGTCTGGCTGCATCCCTTCCCAGGCTCCAATAATTTGAAATATGTGGTCTTTTCAGCCCACGTTTATTAAGGCTCGCAGTAGCTTTGCACAGGAATACTTCCCTCATGCTCGAAAGTTGAAATTCTCAGTTGTGCTCTGAGACCACTTCTTAACTCCAGCCCTAATGGAGCTGGATTGGGCAAATTTGGAGTTTTCCTTCCTAATTTGCCCTAAACTAAGACATGGTTAGAACAATTTCAGTCTTTTTGTTAGTAATTCATTACTTGCTGCAGGTTCCTTCATGAGTATGGGGTCGGACTGTTACTGTATGGAATAATTAACTATAATTTACTGTGATTTTCAGTTGAGGGTTGCATTTTTCCTGCATGTAAGACCCTGGGTTTTTACCAAAGGACTTTTTTTTGTTGGTTTTTTTTTTCCCTTTGGCTGACTGACAGCAAGATATAACTCTTTACCTCAATTTTTTCTATGCATTTATTTGCAAGGTACTGAGCTTTACATTTTTATGGGCCCAGTTTCTTCCAGTGGCTTAGCTTGAGGAGAGCTAGAGGAAAGTTACTATCATTAGTAGAGCTGCATTTTTCCTTTCTCACTTCCTATGTACATATTATAATTGTGGAGAATTCTTTTTGATTTACCTTCAGTTGCTTTTCAGAGGGCATAACCTATGCTGCAAAAACAAATTTAACACCAGGAAAAGACTTCAGGAGGTGGAAGGGACACTCTATACCAATATAATTGCATTGAATTCTAGTGTTATTCAGAAAAAGAAAATCTTCCTTCTGTACATTTAATCAGAAAAAACTTTTTATCAGTGTTAGATTTTCAAAGTTTTAAGTGACTATATGACTTCACTGTCTTGTCTTTAGATAAGCAGAAATGAGAATATGATAAGCCTAAAGAAGATGTGTGGAATATTTTGTGTGTGGAATAGTTTTCCTGATGGTGTTTTTTTTATCCCCAAAATTTGCCTGACTTCTATAGCTATGGATTTGTGAGTATGATTCTGTCAG